TGAGAACATGGATGAGCGGGATCAAAGCCAGAGAATGAAGAGTAGGTCAAGCTCTCTTATAACTCCCTCTTAAGGGGGCTGAGATAACTACATGAATCCCTTCTGAAGGAAACACCCCAGTGATCTAATCACCTTCCACTAGGCCCCATCTTGAAAGGTTCCACCACCTCCGCATCACCACACTGAGGACCAAGCCTCTAGGAGAACAAACCATATTCAAACCACAGAATTTTCTTTTACTCAATAATAAGTCACTGAGATTCTGACTGTTATTTGTCAGAGAAGTAAATATTCCATGATTAAGGTCATGACTAATCTGTGTATGTCTTTTTCTTTTCTTCTTCTTCTTCTTTTTTTTTTTTTTTGTTGTGCTTGCTTACAAATACCTAGCATAAGGGAGAAAGGGAACTAAAAAAAGATGTGATTAACAAGCTCCTCCTTAAAATATCAGATTACAAACCACATCTGGCTCAGTTATAAACAGGGGAGTCAAAGGTGGTCTGGATGCTTTATATCTTTGGTGAAAACCATGTAGTCCCTGAGTGGAACTCCCAAAAGAAGATGTAATTAGAAGGATTAAACCAGAGATATAACCATGGAGGCAATAATTTCACTCTTTGTACTACAGGTTGAAATTACATAGAAATTAGGCACTTTGAAAATAGGCTATATTCTTAAACATATTTTATAAAAGGTCTGACAAATTTTTGTGGACTTACATTTTATACTTGCACTAACTTAAAGCTATGTTGTTTCAATTAGGTTGGTTTTCTATTTAACCCAAGTTTAAGGACTTTCATGGAATTTTAGAAAAGTTTTATGTTTTAAGGAAATATGAATTGTCCAACTGCATATTTGAACCCAAGCATTGAATTATCTTGCAATTGCAGCCTATCATTACTTAGAAGCTTTTATTTCATTGTTACAGCACTGAAAGTCACCTGAATATAGCTTCATGGAGAATGTTAACTAATGTGTGAGTCCATTTGGTCTTAAAAGCTACTTCCATTGCTCAGTCAAAATTTGTGTTGATTTTTAAAAAATCTTTATTTATTTGAAAGGCAATGCTACCTAGACAGGGTTAGAGAGAGAGACAGAGAGAGAGACAGAGAGAGAGAGGGAGATATCTTGCATCTGCTGATTCACTCCCCAAATGCCTGCAATGGCCAGGGCAGGACCAGGCTAAAGCCAAGAGACAGGAGCTTCATCTGGATTTCCCACATTGGTAGAAGGGCCCCAAGGATTTGGGCCATCTTCCACTGATTTTCCAGGTGCATTAGCAGGGAGTTGGATGGGAAGTGGAACAGTCAGGACTTGAACTGGTGCTCTTATGGGATGCTAGAATTGCAGGAGTTGGCTTAGCCCACTCTGCCACAATGCCAGTCCCTGTATAGACATATTTATTCATCAGGTAGTTGCTTTTAAAGTTCAGAAATCTTTGGGTCTGCCCCATAAATTACTAGAAGTATTATAGCCTAATAAAAATAAATCCTTTCATAAAAATTACAGGAATTAATATACACTTAACAATAAAGAGCTCCATTTTCTCTAAAACTCTACCACTTTAACTATAGAAAGCTTCAACAAAAAATAAATACAATGAAAACAGCATCCTGTGGTTTAATATTTGGACAAATAAAAACATGTCACTACATTTAATCCACCAAAAACTCGAGGTAGGAATTATATCCTCTATTATATATATAAGGAAACCGAGACTGAGAGAAGTTCATAGACTCAGAAAATATCACACAGTTAAAATGTGAGAGAGCTATGGTATGAACTATGGTCTATCAGGGTCAGAACTGTGTTGCAGAGGGTTAAGCTGCTGTCTATAGTGCTGGCATCTCATATGGGCTGCTCTACTTCTGATCCAGCTCCCTGCAAATGTGCTTGGGAGGGCAGGGGAGGATGGCCCAAAGGTTTGGGCCCCTGCACCCAAGTAGGAGACCCGGAAGAAGTGCCTGGCTCCTGGCTTTGGATTGGCCCAGCTCTGGCTGTTGCTGCCACTTGGCAGCAGATGGAGGACCTCTCTCTCTCTCTGCCTCTGCTTTTGCCTCTCTGTAACTCTGCCTTTCAAATAAATAAATTTAAATTGCATTTAAAAGATATATTTGAGAGTTACAGAGAGAGACAGACAGACAGAGAGAGATCTTCCATCTGCTGATTCCTTCCACAAATGGCTTCAATGGCCATGGCTAAGGCAGGCCGAAGCTTGGGGCCTGGAACTCCCTCTGAGTCTTCCACATGGATGACAGGGACCCAATTTCTCAGACCATCTTATGATGCTTTCTCAGGCACATTAACTGGGAGTTAGATTGGAAGTGGAGCAGCCAGAATTCGAATTAGTGTTCATATGGGATACCAGGGTTGCAGGTGATGCCTTAACTCACTGTGCCATGATGCTGGTCCCCAATGCACATGCTTATTTGAATTTTACAACAACTTGAGGAGATGGCTGGAACAAGTCAGATATGTAATATTCACAGAGAAGGGATCTGGGGTCAAAGAAGCCAAGTTACCTATCTATGGTTATTGTGCTGCCTACCTTATTAGGCAACAGACACAAGAATAGAATGCAGGTTTTCTGACTCCTAGTACAAAGCCCATACATTAGCATATACTGTTTCAGAACGTGGGCTACAGTGATGTTGAAAATATCTGGGATAAGTGACAAGTTTACAGGTAAAACAGATGAATGAAAATGACAAGTAGTCACAAAGAAAGAATCTTATCCTAGTGGTTAAAGTTTTGATGATATGTAGAGAAACTGAGAAAGGAAACTGATCCAGACCACAGACAGGAGGTGCCATATTTTTTAAATTCCAGGAGAGAAAGTATTAACTAGAAAGATGCCTTTTCTGGCTTCCAGAATTTAGCTCATAAACTAAAGCTCTTCACAGTGAGTTAAGTATACTGATTATATCAGGCTGCTATAATTAAAAAAAAAACACATGCAGATGTTGTTCAGTGCATATATTTCACTACCATACAGCTCAGACTTTTCCCCACATGTTATATTGTGACAGCCCTAAATGGTCTTTCCTATAACAAATTCATATCTTTACATAGAGAGTCAGCAAGCAAGTATTTGAAGCTGCAGTCCACAGTTTATTTTCTAAAATATTGCCATTTTTATCTTTATGACTGTGTGTAATCACTGAAGTATTTTTGCATGCTATGCTTAGTATAAGACACAAAGATAAGTCTTTGTCTTTGACAAAAGGTAAGTCAAAAAAGTGCTATCAGGGGCCTGCATCATGGCACAGCGGCTTAACATCCTGGCCTGAAGTGCTGGCATCCCACATGGGCACCGGTTCTAGTCCTGGCTGCTCCACTTCTGATCCAGCTCTCTGTTGTGGCCTGGGAAAGCAGTAGAAGACGGCCCAAGTCCTAGGGCCCCTGCACCCACGTGGGAGACCCAGAAGAAGCTCCTGGCTCTGGATCGGCACAGTTCCGGCCATTGCAGCCATCTGTGGCGTGAACCAGCAGATGGAAGACCTCTCTCTCTGTCTCTACCTCTTTCTGTAACTCTGTCTTTCAAATAAATAAAACAAATCTTTAAAAAAGAAAGTCCTATCAGGTGCTTGTAATAATTCAAATGAAGGCTAAATAGTTTGGAAGGCTAAAAATAAAAAATGACTTTGGGGCCCCAAAATAGTATTTGACTCTGTTCAATTTAATGAAACGACAGGATTTCGTTATTCAGAACACAATTCTGGATATGTATGGTTGACGATTCTGTGCAAAGAGGCAGGGAGTAACAATGAAGGAAATGGACAGATCCTAAAATTATGAACGGAACGCAGCATGAACTACTTCATGATACAAACACAGAAAATATTCCTCAAGAAGCAAAAAGTGGTGGAAAAGATACAGACTTCTATCCAAAGAACACAACTGGTTTTCCACTTTGTTAAAGTGTAGAAGAAGCAGATAAAATATAAGCCCCTCAGCGTCAAAATATTCCATTGAATTTTGAACAAAATCAACACGTAATGTCTTCCTTTTAAGGTAGCTAGGTAGACATTTGCTTTTGTGTGTAAGAAGGGTTGAAAAAAATGAGAATTTTTTTAAAAAAATAATTTTTGTTTGATGGATTGAGGAACCAGCCTTGAATCCACTTATAGTAATTATATGGACTCTATTGTGCATTAACTTAAATATAGTTACACCTGTAAAAAACAATTCCAAACTACATCGAGTAAGAAACTGCTTATAGTCTCCAACCTCTTGGCCAGAATTGATATATTCCTGATATTTAAGTTAGAGATATCACGGTATAGAAACAAAAAAAGTGATTTCCAGTTCCTCAGTTAACCATGACCATACAGAAGACACTTCTCCCTAAACCTGTCTCCTCATCTATAAAAGCTGATTCAGTATACCAAGTAAATAGAATAGAAAAGAAACAAGTAGGAGCAGGGCGATGAGGAAAGGTGATGGTCTCTGGGCACCTCACTTCAGCCACTCCCTGCTCAGCACTCTCAAGGCTGTGGGCGCAGACCGCTACCTCGGACCGCGCACCCTGCTCCAGGTTGGAGTTGTGGAGACCCAAAGCAGCACGGGCTCCTTTAGGAGCGGAGGAAAGCGTTAACACTCCCTATGCCAAGCCTTTGTAGCGTGCTCCTCACACCATCCTCCAGGAGGTGAGTGCTGTTGTCACTGGACGACCTGGAAACTGCAGCTGATGGGAACTTGCCCAACACGCTCCAACTTTAAAGCTGGCAGAGGCTGACTTGGAAATCGGGGCACAGGTGTGACCTTTCCTCACCTGTAGAAGAGAGCTTGTCCTTTGTCAAGGAAGCCGGTAGCGCCCAGGGGCCCGAGGGCGGGGAGGGGTTGTCGGAACCTCGGAGACCCCGGCGGCCACGAGCCCGCCTCAAAGGGGGAGGGGGCGCTTTAAGGGCGGGGAACTTTTTCCTCCCCCGACAAAAAGTAACTCCCGAAGCGGGAGGGGTTCTCTCCGAGGGGCACTCGCGGTGAGCTGGAGCCTAGCGATGGGTAAGGACCCAGCCAGCCGGGTTTCTGAGGAGGAGGAAGAGGAGGGTTCAGAGGGTAGGGGGGCGGAAGCCCCAGTGAGCACCGAGTCCTGGCCCAGCGTCGACCTGGAGGAATGGGAGTGGCGGAGCCTGTTGAGAACTGAGGTGGCCGGTCAGGGGAGCCGGGAGGCGGCGGGTCCCGCGGGGGCCGCCCCGGAGGAGCGACGGGAGGCGGGCCTCGGGGTGGCTCCGGAGGCGGCGGACCGGAGTCGGCGAGCTCCGACGGCCCCAGCGGAGAGGAGGCGGCGGGCGTAGAGCCCGGGTCGCCGAGGGGCGGGGAGACGGCGGTCCGCGAGGGTGGGGCGCCGGCGGCCCAGGAGGACTGGAGGCGGGCAGAGGGGCGGAGAGAGAGGGAAGGAGCGCTCGGGAAAGGCCCGCAACGGGAGGTCAGTAGTGGAAAGAGCCCGGGCCGGCGCAGCCAGGGGGAGAAGCAGGGCAAGCTCCGGGACGGGTACTGGGAGGCCTACTGGGAAAGGGGCAGGGAGCGCTACCGGCAGAAGAAATCGAAGCGCAGGCCCAAGGGCGCGGGGCAGGTGCAGGTGCAGGGGGGCAAGGTCGAGTGGAAGTACCAGCTGGAGAGGAAGTCCAACTGGCTGCAGAGCACGGGATTCGTGGAGTCTGTGGAGGAGGACAAGTCCTCGCCCTGCAGGGAGAGTCCCGACATCTTCAAGGTCCGGGTGTCGGACGCGCAGTTCCGGCAGCCGGCAATCAGATTCAGTATCTGCCCCAGGCCTTCTCGTCGCCTGTCGCAGCGGCCGGTTGGGAGCTGCCTCTCCGGCCTCAGCGTCATGAACGAGCTAGCGAAGATGGGTGACCCGAACCTCCTGGGGATGGTGCAGGAGGAAGGTAAGGAGCCCGCCGGCGGGAGGGCGGGGCTGCGCGCGTGGACTCCGCCGTCCCCAGCGCTGAGCCCCGGGGGACGTTGGTGGACCTGCGGCCAGCGCCGGGGACGTTCGCGGCGTGGCGTCCCCGCGCGAGACGGGGAACCGCAGCGTAGACCGCCTCTGACTTGAATGTGCCTGGGATGGGTTTAGCTCCCACGATTTGCTTTGCCGCTCCCACGCGCCTAGTACCTGCGTTCTGTGACTCCCTCGAGTCGGGGACACCCTCCTTGCTCCCTTGTGTGCTGCAGGACAGCTGAGTACTTAGGAGAGGCCAGGCTAGCGCGCTGGGCACGTGTGCTGTGGTGCTCGGCCCCTGAACACCACCCCAAAGCAGAAAGGGTCTCCCAAAGGGAGCCGCGCGGTAAAGATCAGGACCGCGACCCCACGTGCCACGGAACTGGCCCTCACTCCTTTAGCCTCTCTGCGGATTACTGATAGTGCTTTCAGATGCTTGTTAATCATGCGAGGGCTGACTTTAAGATCTATCAGTTTAAGATGCTCATGCACTTGGAAACGGTGCTGCTTTTACAGGTCAGCTTTAACTGGACCTGTAGTGGCCTTGAAAGACATTTGTCTGTTGCTTGCTGAAGACTTTGCTCAGATCTGTGTTCTGTGGTATCTCTTTCGTAGACACATTTTCCTAAAAATGCACGTTTTTCAGTGGCCTTCTGTTGGAACTCGGTTGTTTCAATGACTATTTTCATGTCTTTAGTTTTAGTTTGAAGTCCAGAAACGATTTGTTAAAGGGATAAACAGTCTGAGCATGCTCTTACTATTCAGTCTTCAGTGGCACCAAGAAATAGTTGTGTTATTGCATACTTTTCCTCTTTTTAAGCAGCTTCACTGAGACAAAATCTTCACATCATAAAATCCACCTTTAAATTGTAGCTTCCTGTTTCAGTATATTTGCAGTTTTGCAACCATCACCATAAAGTAATTTTAGAAAATTTTGTCACCCCAAATAGAAGACTCTTAAGGCAGCCACTCCCCATCCTTCCCACCCTTAGCTCCAGGCACTCCCTAATCTATTACTGTTTCTGTAGATTTGCCTATTCTAGACACTTCAAGTAAATTGAATCATGCAACATGTGGTTTGTAGTAACTGCTTTTTTCTCTTAGCCTGTAGATTTTTGAAGTTCATTCATTGGAGTTTGTAATAGTGTCTTTGAATTGCCAAGTAACTTTCCCACTGTAGAGATATACCACAGCTTATCCATTCATCAGTTGCTGGACATTTAGGTTATTTCCACATTTTAGATAACTATGAGTAATGCTGCTGTGAACATTCATATCAAATTCTTGTGTCAACATATGTTTTCTTTCTTAAGATCGATTTATTTATTTGAAAGTCAGAGTTACATACATAGAGAGAGACAGAGAGGCAGAGAGAGGGAGGCCTTCCATCTGCTGGTTAGTTGACCTCAATGTCCAGAGCTGCACTGATCCAAAGTCAGGAGCCAGGAGTTTCCTCCAGGTCTCCCACGTGGGTGCAGGGGCCCAAGGACTTGGACCATCTGCTTTCCCAGGCCAAAGCAGAGAGCTGGATCAGAAATGGAGCAGGCAGGACCTAGAACCAGTGCCCATATGGGATGCTGGCACTGCAGGCTGTGGCTTTATCTGCTGCACCACAGCGCCATCCCCATCAACATATGTTTTCATTTTTCTTAGGTTATACTTAAGAACGAAATTGGTAGATTGTGTGGTAGCCCTGTATTGCACATTTTGTGAAAGTGCCAACCTACTTTCCAACTGTCGGTATTTACATTTCCACCAATAATGGAAAAGAGTTCCCATCTCTCTACATCCTCACTAACAGTTGTTTTGTCTGCCTTTTTTTTTTAGTATAGCCATCCTAGTAGTTGTGAAAGCGTGTCTCTAAGTGACTTTGGTTTGCATTTCCTTGGTGACTAATATGTCAAGTATTTTCGTGTATTATTGGGTGTTTATTTATCCACTTTGGAGAAATGTCTATTCAAGTGCTCTGTTTTAATTTTTCTACAATTGATTTATAATAACTCTCTCTGTTCCATATTCTGATCCACTATAGACATATAGTTTGCAGATATTTTCACCTTTTCTGTGGGTTTTCTTCCCTTGTTCTTCATGGCATGACTCTATGCACATTCCCCCTTTTGAAATAAAAAAAAAATTTGAAGAGAGAAGGAAATAACTTTGACTAATGCCTGCTGAATGATGTAGTAAATGTGCATTAATGCCTTTGTATTCACCAGATATGCATTCCAAGCTGTCTAGTGGATTCCTGAAGCCACGGATAATACCGAACCTCATATACACTATGTTTTTTCCTATACATTCATACCCATGCTACAGATTAATTTATAAATTAGACAATCAGGGGACAGCATTGTGGCATAGCAGCTAAGCTGCCACCTGCAATGTTGGCATCTCAAATTGGAGTGCTCCTCCTCCTTCTCCTTCTCCTCCTCCTCCCCCTCCTCCTTCCCCTCCTCCTCCTCCTCCCTCTTCTTCTTTTCCTGATGACTTTTTTTTTGTAATTTCAATAACCTGAAAATCTAAATTTGTATATTTAAAGCACTCAGTAATTCCTTATAATCACTTCTGAGGTAAAACTATGAAAGATAGAGATACATATTTTTCATTGAAGGAAGAGTAGAAATGAAGATGTATACTAAATAATGTTCTCTGCATGGATTTCAAGTGTTTTTCTGCACCAAAATAAACATATTTTAATTCATGCTTTCATGAACTTTGGAGTACCCTCTTGTGTTACCAAAGTCACATTTGAAGATTAAATGACAGAGTTAAACAGTTGATTCACTTGTAATAAGATTTCTTTTCATAGATATCTTAACTTGTAGACAAATTAATGAACGGTTTCTAGGTTTTATTACATTGTTTTTAAGTCTGTTTTCTTCACAATGGAACACATAAGCAATACATGACCTCAATTGTTTATTTTCTTTCTTTTTTTTTTTTTGACAGGCAGAGTGGACAGTGAGAGAGACAATTGTTTATTATTCTCTACTAATTTTAAAATTGAAATTTTAAGGGTTAAATGTAATAGAACACTTAAAAGGCTACAAAAACAAACATTACTAGTAAAATAGTTTTGCTGAAATTGAACTATTGACTGGTTAACATTTAAGGAAATTCATATTTGAAATATTCATTCTTTAGCTGATTTATGATACAGTCACCATTGGAAAAGAAAGTCTAGGAGTTTAGCTTTGGAAAAGGCAGTTTAAATATTGAATGTTTAAGTTGCCTACATCTTAACAATTACATTAAGCACTGTGTTTGACGAAAAATCACCTGCTTTTTAGAAATGTGGATCTTTATTTTCATATAAAATCACAGGCCATGTAATGACAGAGACCTGAGAAACACATTGCTAGGTGTTTTTGTCGTGCTAACATAAGAGTGTCCTTAAAAAAACAAGTGGTATAGCCTTCTACACACCTAGACTACATTATGATCTTAGGGGACCACAATTATATATGTGGTCTCTCATCGACTGAAATATCAATATATGTCATGTGACTGTACTTAAATTTAATTTTATGCTGCTGGTAGAAGTTGTAAGCTGAGAAGACCATCTGGTAAATACAAGGGCTATTTTTGGGTTCTGGGTTTGCTTGAGTGTGTATTCTTAGTAATGTGCTCTCTGAGTTGTTCGGTTGGCTTTTGTTTTAGCAAATATTTGATGATTCTCACAGTGGATTGGTATGAAACCCTTCATATCTCTGGTTTCCAGCTTACAGGAAGAATGTAGTTATTTCCATTCATGTTAAAGGAAGCTGGAGGAATCATAAGACGTTGATTTAGAGTTGTTGGCTTCAAATCCTGCCTCTTCAGAGGTTTTGACAGAGGTTTGGTAATTATATACAATTATTGCATTTTTATACTCTGAATGAGTGTGAAAGTGTACCTCAGTCTATGGAATGTGACACCAATTGCTTACGTGTGTGGCTGTGTCTGTAAGAGTGAGCTAATGAACCATATGCATGTGTGAGAGTGAGCGTAGTGTGTAAGGAAATAAATCTGTTCTCCTGAATCTTTCTGCTTTTCAGAAAAGGATACAATTTACAAAGTTTGCTATTGGTGGCTCTCCAGGTTTGTGGTAGACAGAGGTGTAACTGGGCCAGGTGCCCAGAGAGGGCTATAGTCAAAGTGGTTTGGGAGCTGGTACCAGGGTAAACCAGAAGGATGAGGTTTCAGGCAAGGTCTGAAAGGAGGATATCTAAACTGATATATAAAAAATAAGCAAGGGTTAGTATGGGAAGAAAGCACTTGTTCGTGGTAGGGAAAGGATTCAGTAAAGTTAAAGTGTAAGAGGAGAAACAGTGATGAAAATAATTGGAAGGATATATGTTGTCTGCTTTCCACATTCTTTTATTTATTTATTTATTTGACAGGTAGAGTTATAGACAGTGAGAGAGAGAAACAGAGAGAAAGGCCTTCCTTCCATTGGTTCACTCCCCAATGGCTGCTACGGCCAGTGCTGCGCCAGTCCGAAGCCAGGAGCCAGGTGCTTCTTCCTGGTCTCCCATGTGGGTGCAGGAGCCCAAGCACTTGGGCCATCCTACACTGCCCTCCCGGACCACAGCAGAGAGCTGGACTGGAAGAGGAGCAGCTGGGACTAGAACCCAGTGCTCATATGGGATGCCAGCACCACAGGCAGAGGATTAACCAAGTGAGCCATAGTGCTGGCCCCTCCACATTTTTAAGTAATCACATTGCATCAGATTCTGATAGCAATTTGAAAATATTTTTTCACTTAGTTTTATGTTAAGTGGAGCAAAGTTAGAGTCAATGCTTGCATTTTTTCTTCTTTCTCTTTGCAAAAATAAAATTGTAAAACACTCTATTGACCTAGTAGTAGTTGTTTGATGGTTGTGTGCTTGAACTCTATTTTGTTTAGTGTATTGTTCTTCCACATAAGAGTGATCTTTTTTGTCCTCAAAACAATAAAAGATCCATAAGTTAATGCTCAAGTGTTAACACCTTTAGTGACAAAGCATTCATTCTTTAGAATACTATTCTTTTACTGTTCTTTATAAGAGTGTGTTAAATTGGTTTCCTTTTCATTCATCAATCCAATGAGAGAGAACCAGGACACTGTGGAGTTTTGAGTGGCACATCCAGGAAGTATTAATGGAGAAAATGCTTTCATGAAAGCTATATGTGATGTCTTATGCTTTTTTATTTTTTGTTTGTTTGAAAGGCATAGTTAGAGAGAGAGACAGAGAGATCCATCATGCATCACTGTTTCACTCCCCAAATGGCTGCAACAGCCAGAGCTGGCCTGGACCTAGCTGAAGAGAGGAGCCAGGAGCTTCTTCCTGGTTTCCGATGTAGGTACAGGAGCCAAAGGACTTGGGCCATCCTCTGCTGCCCTCCCAGGTGCATTAGTAGGGAGCTGGATCAGAAGTGGAGTGGCTGGGACTCAAACCGGCGCCCATATGAGATTCCATAGCACCAGCCTCAAAGGAACGCGTTATCTTATTTGATACTCATGCAAACCTTTGTGAGATGGACATTATACCATTTATATGATAATCAAGCTTTGAATTGTCCTCATATTCTTGGCCACAGTAAGCTAGGGAATGTTTCATTTTGTTTTGTTTGGGCATAATCCTGAACCATGTATTATAAGGGTCTTGTTAATACAGGAGATAGGATATTTGTGGGCAGCTGGAAGCCTCTGCTGTCTTAATCACCCACCATTAAGGACCCTCACCATTTTATCAAATGCCATCTTCTTAAGTGAATCAAGCCTGTGAGTATTCAGTCTTTTTTGTTCCTCAGCTTCTACATCTGAAATTTGATGAGAATTTGTTGGAAACTTTTATCCAAATATTCTCAGTGCTTGTATGTATCCGTCACTGCACTGCCTCAGCTCCTGTCTAGTTCACTGTCATCTCTCTTGTAGTTCACTTCAGTAGTTTCCTAGTTTGTCTTCTTCCTCCATTCTTATTTCCTCTTAACCCATTCACTATTCAGCAGCTAATACTTTTGGTGAAGGGTAAATGTAATAGAGTTGAAAACCTGTTTTTCGGTTTGTTATTTCACTCAGCAAAAAATTTAGACTCATTTACAAGGCACTCAAGGCTGTCTACAAAGTATCTACTCACAACTTCTCTGGCATCTTCTCACTACCCCCAGATTATCTTCATTTCTTTGAACATCTCAAATTGTTGTGATTTGAGCCTTTATTTGTATTCACATGATTTGCTTCTTTCAACATTTAGGTCTTAGTGTAAATTTTCTTCTTGGGGCTGGCACTGTGGCGTAGCAGGAAAAACCACTGTCTGCAGTACTGGCATCCCATGTGGGTGCAGGTTTGAGTCCCGTCTGCTCTGCTTCTGATCCAGCTCTCTGTTATGGCCTGGGAAAGCAGTAGAGGATGGCCCAAGGGCCCTTGCACCCATGTGGGAGACCCAGAAGAAGCTCCAGGCTCCTGGTTTCGGATTGGCGCAGTTGAGGCCATTGCTGCCAATTGGGGAATGAAGCAGTGGATGGAAGACCTCTCTCTCTTTCTCTCTCTGTCTCTCTCTCTCTCTCTGCCTCTGTTCTCTCTCTGTGTAACTCTGACTTTCATATAAATAAATAAATCTTAAAAAAATTCTTTTTCAGAGAGATTCTCATCCGTAAACACATTCCTTTTTTTTTGTCTTTCTCTTTCTTCATCTCTTGAACTTTTTTTTAAAAAAGATTTATTTATTTGAATGTCAGAGTTACAGAGAAGGAGAGGCAGAGGTAGAGAGGGAGAGACAGATTTTCCATCTGCAGATTCACTCCCCAAATGGCTGCAATGGCCAGGGGTGGGTCAGGCTGAAGCCTCCAGGAGCTTCCTCCAGGTCTCCCACATAGGAACAGGGGCCCAAGCACTTGGGCCATCTTCCTCTGCTTTCCCAGGCACATTAGCAGGGAGCTGGATCAGAAGTGGAGCATCCAGGATTTGAACCAGTGCCCATATGGGATGCCTGCACTTTAGGTGGTGGCTTTACCCATTATCCTAAAATGCCGGCTCCCATCACTTGCACCTTGAAGCTTTCTGAACAGTTTGTCTCTTTATAACATCATAATTTTTGGGGTGTCTCCTATATAGATTTGTCAATTTCTTGATATTAAAGAATCAACAAATGTAAGTCGTTATCATCACCATCAAATATATTGTTTTATTGATGACTGAATGTCCGACCTGTGAAAGGTCTGAAAATTTACTGTACTTGAAAGTTAACAAAGTTACTCATCGGTACTGGTAGAGACATGAGAAACCTGCATAAGAAACAAAGCACAGTTTACTACAGCATTAACTGTAGCCAGATTAGCAGCATTCTTGTACCTATGTGGCTATAGATGATCAATATTCAATGAGTGGCTGGCGCCGCGGCTCAATAGGCTAATCCTCTGCCTGCGGCGCCGGCACACCAGGTTCTAGTCCCAGTCGGGGTGGATTCTGTCCCAGTTGCCTCTCTTCTAGGCCAGCTCTCTGCTGTGGCCCGGGAGTGCAGTGGAGGATGGCCTAAGTGCTTGGGCCCTGCACCCCATGGGAGACCAGGAGGAGCACCTGGCTCCTGACTTCAGATCAGCGAGGTGCGCCAGCCAGTGGCCATTGGAGGGTGAACCAACAGCAAAAAGGAAGACCTTTCTCTCTGTCTCTCTCTCTCTCTCTCTCATTGTCCACTCTGCCTATCAAAAAAAAAAAGTCTATAAAAATTTAAAAAAAATATTCAATGAGTAATGTAATGCCTGCACAGGCAACAGCTTGCAACAAAGAGAGAAACTCTGAGCTTTTAGTGAATTTGGTCAGTAATTTGCTTTAGAGGGAGCTACTACCCCCGTGTTTCTAGACTGTAAGCACATGAGCCCTTTGCTCAAGAACAGTCTACCTTCTCTGTCTTCAAAGGCTGCGCACTCTCCAAAATCCTTGAAAATTATAGTCTAGATATTCCAGTACAAGGATGTGCACAACTGTGAGAAACCCAAGAATTGTCTCCTAACAACATCTACCCGTAAATAATTAGCTGTAATTTACTTTGGTTTTGGACAGTTAATTTTAATATTGTATTCCTTGGAGATTTAACCTTGTTTTTTCATATAATTATTACTTATTCAGTCTTTTCGTGAAACATGTGACATGATTACACCACAATGTATTTATCCATTCTTCTACTGCTGCATTTTTGAGAGAATTTTGGTATTACAAATATTCCTAACAATGCTATTATGAATATTTTTATGCTTTTCTATAGTGTTCTGATACACATTATTTCTGTTGAGTTTTCACTAAGACAGCACTTTTGAACTTTGTGGTCTCAAAGAAGTTCAAAAGCTTTTATTTATTTTTATTGAAAATTAAAATAGGCACATTTAAAATTTATTAAAAGTAATAATTCCATGTTAGCATAAATAATTTCTAAGATAACAGTTATATTCTCAAAAATGAAACAAATATAATATTGACATTGTTCACTTCTTTGAAAATCTATAATCCCTGGCCTAATGGAAGGGTAGATTCTCATATCTTCCTTTATATTGTCTGTTGTGATATGTTGTTTTGGTCCAACTAGTTAAAGAAAATTGCCTACTTACAGATATATAATTGAAAAAGGAAGAATAATTTTAAAAGCTTTCAAATAATTACAGATATTCTTCTTTGATACAATTGCACCAAAACTCAAACTAATAATAGGTTCTTAAAAGACAGATGTAATGAGAAATTTGAAGCCATCTAAATAAACTTTTCATTTTCTGCTACATTAAAATCCACTGGTCTCTTACTTTAAGGACATTTTTCACCAGTGTATGATTTTGTAACATCATATGCTAATTACTTAGAAAATGTTAGTTCACTAAGTTAAATAGATCTGCCAAATGTTGACATATTTCATTATAAAATATCAAAAAGCCACATGACATCATTGCTGTCATCTGGAAAGTCTTGGGAAAATTTCATGGTGACAGATAAAGTTTTTTAAATTTAGAGCTTTCATTTAAAATTCAAATTTTATCACTGACAATAAACACTCTTTGCTATTTTCTATGAAGAATCATGCTGTTAATTTTTGAGAAAATAGCTCCCAAATAATGAAGATTGCATAATAAAATATGTCTACTGGTCATATTTTCTTTTTCTCTTTTTATAAATTTTGAATTTGTTTATTCATACTTTGAGTTAAAATTGTGTGACATGAACTCTGATATTTCACTTTACAACACAAAGCACTTTTTCTTTCCTTCCCTTCCTTCCTTCCTTGGCTTTGTGTCGCTCCCCGTCTTCGTGGAGGAACGACACAGGATCCTGCGCTGTTCTTTCGTCTGCTCGGCCCTCCCCGGGTTTGCTGCTGGTTCTTCCCGGGTTGGCTACTGTCCCTTCCACCTCCGTGGAAGGGCGGTTCCCCCTGGCCACATTCCCCACTTCCGCAGGGGAGCAGCACACCGCCGGCCGGCTCTCTCGGGGGCTGCACAGGCGTTCCCCTTAGATGTTCCCCTTAGATGTTCCCGGTGCATGCCGTCTCCCTCCCCCTTTATAGTCCTCCTCCGCCAATCCTAACTCGGCTGCCCACACGCCGAGTACGCTGCTCTCCTCCAATCAGGAGCAAGTCCTACAGTTTATTGGCTGAACTGGAGGCAGCTGTGCAGAAGCTGTTTTCTTCTCTCCCAGCGCCATATTGTGGGAGAGCAGATGCATAGAATAAGTCCTAATTCCAGTAACTTAGTCCAGTCCGGATTGCTCCCCACAGCTTTGTTTTTCTTCCTCCTCACCTCTTTCTAGATATTGGAGTACCCATGGTACAATCCTTAAGGCTTTTCTCTGTCTTCATTTTCTCTGTCTTCCTTCAAGCTTCAGAGTTTCATGGCTTTTATAAAAAAAAAAAGGTTTATTTGAAAGGCAGAGTTACAGAGAGGAAGAAACAGAGAGAAATATTCCATTCACTCACTGCCAGGTGCCCCAGCAATCATATTAGATGCTTGTGTCACAGCTGATGACTTAACCCACTATGCCATAAGGCCAACCCCCACAAAGTACTTTTTTTTTTTTTCAGGTAACAGTAGTTTGGAATGCAACAGGAGTACTTCGAGCATACTTCCTATTTCTTTATAGATTGTTAAGAAGATGTATATTCAAGGTGAAGGTTTAGGAAATTAAGCAGTTTTTAAATAAATCATCTGCTTTTTCTTTTAAGATTTTTATTTATTTGAGTTATAGACAGTGAGAGGGAGAGACAGAGAGAAAGGTCTTCCACTAACTGGTTCTCTTCTCAAATGATTGCTGCAACGTCTAGAGCTGGGCTGATTCAAAGCCAGGAATCAGGAGCTTCCTCTAAGTCTCCCATGTGCATGCAGGAGCCTAAGCACTTGGACCATCTTCCACTGCTTCCCAGACGATAGCAGAGAGCAGGATCAGAAGAGGAACATCCAGGACTAGAATCCTGTGGCCATATGGGATGCCGGTGCTGCAGGCAGAGGATTAACCTACTGCTCTAGCCCCTGAAAATTAAGCATTTTTACTGTTTCCTCAAGGATGGTTTTAAGATATACTAGACATTTAGCTCTTCTTTCTACTGAGGATGCATGATGATGAATATAGTGACTTGTTTCAGTTGGCACCACTGCCATCACATAATGTATCTCTTTTGGGGTCTCTGTTCCTCTAATATTATTATTTATTATGAATACAAAGGCTATTCTCAACTGCTTGTATTTCCTTAACATTTCAGAATTGTTTTCTCACACTCTTTCTTGAAAACTTGTTGCCATTTGACTTGGATTAAGTTAAGCCAATAGATAATTTAGCATACATTTATTCCCTAACCGTATTATATTTTGTAATCATGAACCGATTATTTCTTCTATACCCTTTTTTGTTAAGATTTATTTTATTTACTTGAAAGGCAGAGGTACAGAGAGGGGAGAGACAAAGAGAGATCTTCCATCCACTGGTTCCCTCCCCAAATGGCCATAATGGCCAGGGCTGGACCAGACCAAAGCCAGTAGGCAGAAGCTTCTTCTAGGTCTCCCATGTGAGTGCAGGGGCCCAAGGATTTGGGCTATCTTTTTCTGCTTTCTCAGGCACATTAGCAGGGAGTTGGATGTGAAGTGGAGCAGTCAGGACTCAAACTGGCACCTACATGGGATGCCACAATGCCACTCCCTCTTCCATACCATTTTCCAGAGTTGAATTTCATTCACTGTGATGATATTTGGCTAAAAGTATACATTGTGATTTAAGAAAAGTTGATTATTTTTGTCACATTTCTCATTTATAATATATATAATGTGTATATACAATTCAATGCGTAGAATGTGAAAGAAAAAATTGAGAGAATATGGGATTGGATACGCCAGAGATTATTTTGATAAGAGCACACCTATTTTTTATTTATTTATTTATTTATTTGAAAGGCAGAGTTACAGAGACAGAGGCAGCGAGAGAGGGAGGTCTTCCATCCACTGCTTCACCCCTCAAATGGATGCAACAGCCAGAGCTGGGCCGACCCGAAGCCAGGAACCAGAGCTTCTTCTGGGTCTCCTTGAACCAGTGCCCATATAGGATGCTGGCACTGCAGGTGGCAGCTTTACCTGCTATGCCACAGCGCTGGCCCCTGGCACACCTATTTCTAATCCAAGAAGAAATGTGTTTGAAATTTTTAAAATGGCAGTGTCTTCAACAATGACTTCAGTTACCCATGTGACATCATATTCATTCTTCATTCCCTAAGCACATAATGCATCTCCACAGATAACTCTATCACCTTTCTAACAGCAATACTATATATTTATTGTAATCCTTTGTTTTCTTTATTTACATCATAATTTTACAAATTTTTATGATCACCAAATCTAATGGTTTGAGTTGAACTTTGTTTATAACTCTTAGAGATGATATAGTTAAATACATTTTGGACTTTTGAAAGTCACATTTGAAGAGAAAAGACAATGAGGCATTGCCTTCAAATTTATGAATGAAAATGGAGATGTCCATCTCTATCCCATTTCAATGACTAGAAAATCAGCTTTTTTATCATAATGAAAATTAATGAAATGTCAAATAAGCTACTTGCAAAGAAAAGAAGAACTTAGCTCCCAGTTTTGAAGGTTCAAGGGCATTGTTTGGTGCCTCTTTTGGTGTAATTCTGGTGTATATTACTTCTGGTGGTACATGACCGTGATGGAAACTTGCATGGGGGAACCAGAAATTTAGAGAGGGGAGGGTCATCTTGGTCCTTTCTATCTTAAATTTTAACAACCTTCTCAATTAGAACTGAAGGGTTTTACCAAGGGGCCACCAAAAAATTGCCTCACATCCTCAGTGACCTAAGGACCTCCCACTAGACCTCACCTCTCATAGCTTTCCTCAGCTTCCAACACCACCATCCTAGGGATCAAACCTCCAATTGCAGTAGAATCCTAGGTGACAGCTACACCAAAACCATAGGAAGTCCCAACTTAATGTGATACTGGGAGAAAAAAGAGAAAGTTTTTAAAAAGCATCGCTTAATATGGAAGTTTCACAAAACAGTACCTGCATCTTAGCTTTATGTTGATGTGGTGGTGTTCTTGGCATCCAGAGTAATGGAATGACGATGTTAGTTAATGGTATTCTATCAAAGACAAACATAAAAAGAGCTATCAGTCAGTGTATTTTTCTCTAGTAAATATAATGTTGCAGTGCTTGCTAATTAAAGACAATCAACCCGGAAGGTGTTATACTAACTGGAAAATATTCATCTTGCTGCTTGTTGCCTTATTTCATGCAGTTCTGTGTATCATCATTATGACTTCCTCTCCCTTTCTCTAGGGAAATTTACAGCCATCACTTAGAGCTTTAATGAGCTTATATAGCTTTGCCATGGAATCAGTGACAGGGAGTATCAAAAAATCTGCATGTATTATTTTGGTAACTTGTAGCAAGAAGAAAAAAATGTCTTTTTTGGGGACCCAGTTAGGCTAATTCAACTTACCTCAACCAAGAACTGGTTTTTTTTTTCATTAAGGAGGGCATGAGCAGTTTTGTCCTATGTAAAATAGAGGGTACACCTTTTTTATTTATTTATTTTATTTTTTGACAGGCAGAATGGACAATGAGAGAGAGAGACAGAGAGAAAGGTCTTCCTTTACCATTGGTTCACCCTCTAATGGCCGCCGCAGCCGGTGTGCTGCGGCCAGCGCACTGCCGCTGATCTGAAGCCAGGAGCCAGGTGCTCCTCCTGGTCTCCCATGTGGGTGCAGGGCCCAAGGACTTGGGCCATCCTCCACTGCACTCCCGGGCCACAGCAGAAAGCTTGACTGGAAGAGGGGCAGCCGGGATAGAATCCGGCGCCCCGACTGGGACTAGAACCTGGTGTGCCGGCGCCGCAGGTGTAGGATTAGCCTATTGAGCCACCGCGCCAGCCAGGGTGCACCTTCAAGCAGCTTTTGTAAGAACTGAAATGCGCTTGACACAAATCATTGGTATTATATCGGGGGACTCAAAAGAAGTCACAAGAGAAGCTGCCTTTGGCTTGAGCCTTTTAGAGAAATTGTGCTATCAAAATTCCCACATGAAATGCAGAATAGCAAACTCTTTTAAGGAATAAATCTCATAGAGTCAGAGCTGGTTGAAACTTTATGTATTAGTCAAGGTTCTCAAGAAAACACAGAATTGATAAGATATGAATAGAGATATATGAAGGGAGATTTATTTATGGCAACAGAGAAGTCCCAGGGCAGCTTAACTGCAGGCTGGAGACCCTGGAATGTCAGTAGCATGGCTCAGTTCCAGTCCCAAAGCAGTGGGTGTAGTTCTCTCAGTTTGAGGCCCAAGCCCGAGTGCCAGCAAGGGGACTGCTGGCATAAGGTCCTGGACTACAAGGATCAGAATCTGATGTCCAAGGCAGGAGTCAGGCAAGTCATAGCTCTCAGAGAAGGTAACAGTGCATCTTCTGCACCTGGTTCCTCCAGATCCCTAGCCAGTTGTTGGTGCTTGCTTTCCCCAAAGCCAAATCTGCCCACCTAGTCCGCTCAGATTCACACGCTCATCCCATTTGTATACATCCTCATAGACACATTCAAAATAAGGGTCTCCCTTTTTCTGAACTGAGTATTCCTTAATCCATTCAAGTTGATGCTATAAAATCAACTATCACACTTTACGAGACTTTGTATTCAGATTTCATTGGAGTTTCCTGACATCTGAGTCTGATAGAAATGAATTTATTTTGGGATTCATAAATATTTTCAAAAACATTCTCGTATTTAAAGATTGGATTACATTAAATTACATTACATATTTAAAGATTGGATTACATTAAAAACCAAACAGAAAGTTATCTTGAAAAATCTTGAGCTCTGTAGAGTCTGGGGCCCTGTTGCATGGTGGTTATCATCTAGAGCTGTCATGTCTTCACTGTGTTCTTAACGTTCGCTAAATGTATGCAGTTCACTTGAGTAGTCTTCTAGCCCGCTGTGGACATTCAAATTTGAGACATCTGTTCTAGTTTAATTTCATCACTGTACATATTGAAATACTGACTCCTGAAAAAGATTGTCATTTGCCAATGTAACTTTCATTACATGTACATAACAGATTCTGTAAGAAACTGACTACAGTGCCTGGCACATGTGTAGTTCTCAACATGTTTTGTCTCATCATTGGCAACAAAGGCAATAGAAGAAACACTTCTCTTACTGGCCTGCTTGTTCCTTTTTTTTTTTTCTATGAACATTTATCAGGCAACATTCATTTGCCAATCACTGTGCTATAGAGAACAAAATCAGATATTATGCCCACCTTTCAAGGAACTTTCACTCTTTGGGGCAGTAAAAAATATAAATAAAAAAGCACACAAAATCATTTAAAATTGAAACTGTGAGAAATGCCATCGAGTAGACATATATTAGGTGATTTGAAAAAGATAGGTGAGAGAAGGCTTTTCTGATGAGAATGTGACTTTCAAACTTATAGCTGAAGGATGTGGTGAAGAATTACCCTGGGGTAGGTTGGGGGAGGGGAGTGGCAGGGAATAAGTTATACATTCCTTGCAGAGGAATAATTAGGAGCTAAGGCACTTCAGAGAGGAATCTGAAGGAAAGCATACGGGATTAAAAGAAGACTGGTGGGCTGGATTTAAGAGGGCAAGAGAGTGAAGCTGGAGAGGTAGGCTGGTTTTAATTAATTTGAAAGAATTAACATAGTCTGTCAAAGACAAAGATTTTACATCATGAATGATCCCTGTCTTTTGTTATCAAAGATATGAACCATGCATCTACTTTTTTTTTATTTGACAGGTAGAGTTGCAGACAGTGAGAGAGAGAGACAGAGAGAAAAGTCTTCCTTCCATTGGTTAACTCCCCAAATAGCCACTACGGCCAGCACTGCGCCAATCCGAAACCAGGAGCCAGGTGCTTGCTTCTTCCTGGTCTTCCTTGTGGGTGCAGGGGCCTAAGCACTTGGGCCATCCTACACTGCCTTCCTGGGCCACAGAGGAGAGCTGGAGTGGAAGAGGAGCACCGGGGCTAGAACTGGTGCCCATATGGGATGCCGGCGCCACAGGCGGAGGATTAACCAAGTGAGCCACGGTGCTGGCCCCTGCCTCTACTTTTAAAAGTAAAATACAGTTTACGTGAAGTAACTGTTTCTTACAAATCAATGATTATTTTCACATAGCCTTATTTTAACAAATGAGTAGTTAATAACTATGCTGCTTGGTAGGAAGCTTTGGAGTTTATCCACATATAATAGTTTCATTTATGTGATGGACTTAATGACTAGGAAGAATAGCTGAGTGATTAGCATCATCTGTGAAAAAGAATTGTACTATTGTGAACTAGGTACAATTAATTTCATTTAACATATATTAAATATTGTTTTGTGGAATGAATTGTGTTTCTTGGATTATGAAAAAGATGTACAAATTACTGATTTATAAATTTCTGTGTTTTCAGAATATATCCCAACTCTTACAGAATTACTGTTACTTTGGAATGATTTTAAGTGGTAGTAATATTTTATTTGATTTCCCTTGTGATATTTTCTTCAAAAGCATTTTATGGAAATATTGACAAATATTTCTCAGTATTTTTCGAAGTTGGAATTACATGGGAATAAGAATTTAAATTCTCTGTTGCCTTTTTTACAGTCAGAAACTTATTTGAGTCCTAATGGTTCACCTAACCATGGTGACTCTATCTGGGGGGTGAGTAGTAATTTGGCCTATTTCGAAAATGGTCGTGTTCTGGTACTGTTTTACTTGCAACCAGTCTGGTTCAATTCCAGGAAAACAAGTCAAAGAGAATATGAAAACTCATATAGTGATAACTAAGAGATATCATTGAACAGCACTGTTGGATGTCTTTGTCTCGGCAGTTTGGTAGGTATGGATTGAGAACTGTACTGATGAGAGTTGAGTTTATTTCTTACTGGGTGATATTTTTCCTACATATCCTTATCTTACTATTCTTCTAAACAGTTTTTAATGAGACTTCTGTTGGAGGCTGTTTGGAACAGTTTAGTTCCAGAAAAATCTACATTTTCTTCCAGTATTTTCCTTTGAGCTTTCTTTTTTATCATTGCTCAATTTTTGTTTTCACCTTTGGCAAACTTTTTTTTGTTAAGATTTATTTATTTATTTGAAAGTCAGAGTTACAGAGATGCAGAGTCAGAGGGAGAGAAAGAGAGAAAGTCTTTCATCAACTGGTTCAATCTCCAAATGGCCCACAACAGTCAGAACTGTGCCAATCCGAAGCCAGGAGCCAGGAGCTTCTTCCATGTCTCCCATGTGGGCAAGGGGCCTAAAGGCTTGTGCCATCTTTTACTGCTTTCCCAGAACATAGCTGAGAGCTTGATCAGAAGTGGAGCAGCCGAAACTCAAACTGGTGCCCATATGAGATGCTAGCACTGCAGGTGGTGACTTTACCCACTATGCCACAGCACCAGTCCCTCTGCATACTTTTGAACATATTCAGATCAGTTGACCAGTGTAACATGTTTTTCTCTTTCTTATTTCTTCTAGGGAGAGTAGTTACTAGAGAAATAGATCCCAGTCTACAAACAACAGAGGTAAGTTAAATATATGTGTATTAATTTCTCTATAAATGAGAATAAACAAGATATGGTTAGAAGTATAATCATATGAATAATTAAATCTTTATACTTCAAATATTTATTCACATTACTTATATTTTTTATCTGTAACATTTTTAGTAAGGAAAACAATTTTCTATTTAATGCATATTTAATGTAGTATCTTTCTAGATGTTGTAAAGGCAAAAAACATAAGTTTGAATTTGTTTTGAGACTTCCTGTGAAATAAACCCAGATGCAGGGCTTTGATATACAAGCTAATAGTATTGGGCTTAAAGAATTTGCTATAGTTTAAATAGTTTTTTATATTACAGCATTACTCAGTGATAGTGCTTATTGATGACTCTGCTGGGGGTCAAGTAATTCAAATTGAATGTAGTTACATTAAATAAAACAATAAATCATTACATTAAGTACAGGCAGTGCTTTGTCTGTGCAGGTTGTGTATCTGTAGATTGAATAAAATGAGGGTCAAAAATAGTTTTTAAAAATTACAGAGGTGAGGCCAGTGCTGCGGCTCAGTAGGCTAATCCTCTGCCTTGTGGAGCCGGCACACCGGGTTCTAGTCCCGGTCGGGGCGCCGGATTCTGTCCCGGTTGCCCCTCTTCCAGTCCAGCTCTCTGCTGTGGCCAGGGAGTGCAGTGGAGGATGACCCAAGTGCTTGGGCCCTGCCCCCGTATGGGAGACCAGGATAAGCACCAGGCTCCTGCCTACGGATCAGCGCAGTGCGCTGGCCGCGGCGGCCATTGAAGAGTGAACCAACCAACGGCAAAAGGAAGAACTTTTCTCTGTCTCTCTCTCTCACTGTCCACTCAGCCTGTCCAAAAAAAAAAAAAAAAAAAATTACAGAGGTGAAGCCGGTGCTGTAGCACAGTAGGTTAAGCTGCCACCTGTAGTTCCAGTATCCCATATGTGCACCAGTTCAAGGACTGGCTACCCTACTTCCTATCCAACTCCCTGTTAATGTACCTGGGAAAGCAGCTGAAGATGACCCTAGTCCTTGGGCCCCTGCCACCCAAGTAGGAGACCCAGAAGAAACTCCTGCACTCCTGGCTTCAGCATGGCCCACCCCTGGTAGTTGGAGCCATTTGGGGAGTGAACCAATGGATAGATTTCTCTTTCTCTGTCTGTCCTTTTCTCTCTCTCTCATTTTCAAATGAATAAATAAATCTTTTTTTTTAATTTTTTTTATTTTTTTATTTTTTTGACAGGCAGAGTGGACAGTGAGAGAGAGAGACAGAGAGAAAGGTCTTCCTTTGCCGTTGGTTCACCCTCCAATGGCCACCGCGGCCGGCGCGCTGCGGCCGGCGCACCACGCTGATCCGATGGCAGGAGCCAGGAGCCAGGTGCTTTTCCTGGTCTCCCATGGGGTGCAGGGCCCAAGCACCTGGGCCATCCTCCACTGCACTCCCTGGCCACAGCAGAGGGCTGGCCTGGAAGAGGGGCAACCGGGACAGAATCTGGCGCCCCGACCGGGACTAGAACCCGGTGTGCCGGCGCCGCTAGGCAGAGGATTAGCCTAGTGAGCCGCGGCACCGGCTAAATGAATAAATAAATCTTTAAAAAAACTACAGCTATACTAAACATGTAGATGTTTTTCTTGATATTATTCCCTAAATAATGCAGTATAATGACTATTTATATTGTATTAGATATTATAAGTAATCTAGAGATGATCTAAAGTACATGAGAAGATATAAGTTATATGCAAAAATAACAATTTTATATAAGGATATCCATATGTTTGGGTATCCTTGCCTGGTTATGGAACCAATCCCCAGAGATAACAAGTGGTAACATTATAACTTGTAAAATATAGAATATTTTTAACCAAAGGCTTTGTTTAATTTATATGAACTTTTAAAATATACTACAAGTTATATTGCTTTTATACAGAGCATAACTTTTCTAATGATATTTCTTTTTTTTAAAAGGTTTATTTTTATTTATTTGAAAGACAGAGTTACAAATAGAGATAGAGCCATACAGAGAGAGAGAGAGAGAGAGGTCTTCCGTCTGATGGTTCACTCCCCAAATGGCCCCAATAGCCAGAGCTGAGCTAATCCAAAGCCAGTAGCCAGGAGCTTCTTCTGGGTCTCCCACACAGGTACAGGGACCCAAGGACGTGGGCCATCTTCTGCTTTTCCAGGCCATAGCACAGAGCTGGATCAGAAGTGGAGCAGCCAAGACTCGAATGGGCACCCATGTGGGATGCCTGCCCTGCATGCCAGGGCTTTAACCCACTGCAACGCAGTGCCAACCCCTCTAATGATATTTCAATAAAATTATTTTTCTAGAAGGCTCTAGTGTGGGGTTTCATAAATGAGTGAGACAGATCATGGACATCTTCACCTGAAGAGTGTGCCCTGGATTGCTTTGGCCAGCACTTTCTATTAGAGGGTATCAGCAAGTCTACAAGCTAGCTGGCACATAGGCACAGTTGATGTACAACTTTAGGTGGGAAAGGAATCCAGTCTGGTGATCCATGACTGGGAACAGAACTGTGGTGTAAATCTTCAAAGACAGGTCCATTCAAATGCTCCTGCAATTAACATCCATTCAGCCCCCTGCTGTCTAGGCTGCCACATTCCTTTAGGGGCAGCTTATGCCCCCCCATTGCCTATTTTGATGAAGATCAGAAACTGTAGCCTTTCCTCTAATTTCATGGCAGTTTCCTGCCTTGAGACACACTCAAGCAGCAGCATCTACTATAGGTCCAAAATTATGCAAGTGGCTGTTACAGATGTAAAATCCTTATGTTGAGTTGAGAGTGTCCAATTAGATATAAACAGTGCCCCAGGTTGGCAGTGTGCTAGTTGGCTGGATAAGCTGGCTCCATAAACTGGTTTACATAAGATTCCTACAAGTTCTAGGATACCTTTAAATGTATAGTGACCAGAATATTGAGAAAAATAGAATATAAGAATCAGAAGATGAAGATCATATGGTGTACTAACTTTTTTAAAAAGATATACTCATTTTATTTGTATGTTAGAATTGTAGAGAGAGAGATCTTCTATCTGCTGGTTCACTCTCCATATGGCTGCAACAGCCAGGGCTGGCCAGGCCAAACCAGGAGCCTGGGGCTTCATCTGGGCCCCCCACATTGGTGCAGGGGCCTAAGCATTTGAGCATCTTCTGCTGCTTTCCCAGGCACACCAGCAGGGAGACGGATTGAAAGTGGAGCAGCCATGACTTGAACCAGCACCCATATGGGATGCCAGAGCCTCAGGTGGCAGCCTTACCCTCTGTGCCATAGCGTTGGCTCATGGTATAGTGGTTTTTACAGTGTAGTATAGAGAATAATAATTATATGAAGACTTTCTTAAAAATGCGGACCCTTGGGCCTTAGCTCAAATACTAATCGATATCTTTGGGGATAAAGGTGAGGAAGTAATGAAGGATGCAAGAGCTTCATGACTAAATTTTATGTAAGGCTTTGTGTGCCTTTGTAGTACTAGTTAAATACAAACTTGAGCAAGTTAACTTCTCTGTACCACAGCTTCCATGAAATAAGATTAAACAATACATAAGAAATTCTCAAATTCTCAACTGTGTTGGCTTTATAAAATTAGTTTTGAGGGCTGAGACTGTGTTATAGTAGGTTGAGCCTCCACCTGCGGTGCTAGCATACCATATGGGTGATCCTTCGAGTCCCGACTGGTCCACTTCCAAGCCAGCTCCCTGCTAAGGTACCTGGGAAATCAGTGGAAGATGGCCCAAGTGCTTGACTCCTGCACCCACAAGGGAGAACTGGGGGAAGTTCCTGGCTTCTGGCTTCAGCCTGGCCCAGCCCTTGCCATTGTGGCCATTTGGGGAGTGAGCCAGCAGATGGAAGACATCTCTGTTTCTCCCTTTCTGTTTTCACTCTGGCTCTCAAATAAATAAATAATTTTTTTAAAAATTAATTCTTGCTTATTTTCTAGTGATCGTTACCATAAATTTACTAAATTTATTGTGTCATATATGTATATTAAAGATTTATTTATTTATTTGAAGGTCAAAGTTACACAGAGAGGGAAGGGGAGGCAGAGAGAGAGAGAGTTCTTCCATCCACCTGTTTATTCCCTAGTTGGCTGCTACAGCTGGAGCTGTGCGGATGTGAAACTAGGAGCCAGGAGCTTCTTCCAGGTCTCCCACGCAGGTGCAGAGACCCAAGGACTTGGGCCATCTTCCACTGTCTTAGCAGAGAGCTGGATTGGAAGTGGAGCATCCAGAACTTGACCCAGGGCACAAATGGGATGCTGGCACTGTAGGCGGTGGCCTTACCCGCTATGCCACAGCAGCCCCCCACCACTGTGTCATATAGTTTTAATTCACATGTATTTTCTAGATTTCCACAAAAGACTGTACAATGTTCAATGATGACTTACATTAATTGTAAATAAGAGGCTACTACTCTGGAATTTAGCCCTTTTTAGCATTCATGAAACCACAGAAGATCCTTTGAAAAAATAATATATATATATTTCAATTAGTTTTATATAGTTGAATAAAAAGGTTATGTGAAGTTTATAAAGTAGAACTATATAAACTGGCTTATTATTCTGCCGATTAGACTTTGGCATTGGGATTCTGAATACAGATAGTCTAATTATAAAGCTTACTCTTTAGTCACTCTACAATATTACTTTTTTAAGTATACTATTTTAGGGTCTGATATTGTGGCATAGTGTAAAGCCTGTTCCACTTTTGATCCAGCTCTCTGCTAATGGCCTTGGAAAAGCAGTGGAAGAAGGCTCAGGTGCTACCTGTGTGGGAGACCGGGATGAAACTGGCCCAGCCCTGGTCATTGCAGCCATTCAGAGAGTGAATCAGTGGATAGAAGATCTCTCTCTTTGTGTCTCCCTCTCTTTCTCTCTGACCTTAAAAAAAAAAAAAAGTACTATTTTAAGAACCTTATGCGCCGGTGCTGTAGCTCACTAGGCTAATCCTCTGCCTTGCGGCGCTGGCACACCGGGTTCTAGTCCCGGTCG